CCATAAGCCCCATGCTTTTCACTTTTCCCCTAGAAAAATCCCAAAGTAGTTATTATGTACTGATATTTGTGCAGGGTAGCACCTAAGGACAGGTTATGCACATATTTGGAAGCCTGTGCCAGTTTCCGCTATAAATATCAAAGGTTTTCCAATGCAAGAAATGTACCCTACTCAGGGTATTCATAACATTTGGGTATCAGTGAAAGAGAAATGTAGAAAATTTCAGTTTTGTCCTCAGAAGGTTTTTAACATGCCCTCACTCATCTTAATACACTGGAATTTAATAATTCCCATTTAACAAAGGCTTATTTGAGTACATGTATTTATAGTATTTACTTTCAATTGTCTGTGAGTGTGGGTTCTTATCAACTTTTCATATCAACATGTTGGGTTGTGATTATCTTTTGTTTGTGATTATTTCATTATGATTTCTTTTTTGCTGTTATATTCTGGCAGTTTTGCTGGTGATTTATCCGAGAAAAGCTAGAAATTTTAGTAAGAGCTCTTGGGCAATACACTTTCCTCTCAGAATATCTCTCTCCAACCACTAGTGCTGCCTAAGTCTTCCCGAGACATTATGATAGAGAAGCGGTGAAAGAGTGTACTGGATTGAATAAGCTCCTTATCTAAAGGGATTGGCACATCCTCAGTAATCTTGTTATTCTATGGAAACCGGGATCAACGCCGGCCTTTCCGCATGCAACCAGCAGTTTACGTTCACAACCCACAACAGCATGTAAAATAATCGTAAACAATTAAACATTTTCGGTTTCAAAAACGAATCTTTGTGAAATATCAAAGACAGCTAATTTATATCGAAGATGACTACATAACTTTAAGAAAATGTCGAACGATGGCTGGTTTGCTTCTATTCATCATTGCTGACACGAAACGAAACGATAATTTACAATGTAAACAAAATCGACGGGGGTTGATCAAATAAGGCTGATGGCTGAGCATAAAGTGCTCAAAACATTTTAACATTTTGAGACAAACGCAAATAAAATAATCAAGAAAGCGATAGAGTTATAACTTGATTTAGAATTATGGCTCGAATATGCGATAAAACCGATATACATGACCTTGGTTTAGATATCGAAAAGGGAAGTCGAATGTTTTTGTAATATAGATTTGATATTTGACTTTTCATGACAATTCGACCTCTACAATCAGATACGATTTGCAGGCTCTTTACGATGATCTGTTAGCGAGAAAGAAACAAAATCGAATTGTTCAAGATATAAAGAATGAGTCGGTGAACAATTAGGTCCATTTAGTGGACTAAACAGATTATAATTTGACGTTTGAAAATAGAAACGGATATGGTCGAGGTAGACAGATTTGTCACTGGTCACGTCACAGCGGATTTCGATGTGTTCTGTTCGATGTCATATTGGTTCTCAAACTCACGCATTCACGTAGTTTTGCAATGCCAAAATGAAATTTTCAGTCAGTATTTAGTTCGTACTCGTGACTAGTCTACCCTCTCGGGACACAACTGTCAAGATAAAATGTGGTTTCAATAAATATTTGCACAGCTAGAGCTCGTCACAGGATTGTGTACACTAAATATCAGCGATTTTCATCCGCGTTCAATATTTACAGAGTGGTTATCTCGACATCATTTCCACGTCTTTATCAAATATATTTAAAATGCACTTACCTATAAGTACATAAATGGCGATATGAAGAGCTTCCACCTAGTCAAAACACGACGAAAAGTGTACTAAAATGGCCGACGGCGTGAAAAGATTCAATAAAGCGCTTAACGAGCGCACGCACTAAAGTAAAGAGAATTTCGTTATGCATCACGAATGCACACATTTAAGCCCCTTTTTAAGTCTATACTTCACATGTGATTGAAAATCACCTTCAAATGAAGAACAAAATCAGTATTTTGTTTAACAAAAAACAATCTTCATCAGAATAAGATCGTTTTGAAAGAACTTTTACAGTTTTTTTTACACCTTGAAGGGATCTGTGTTAATTTCTCAATACCAAACAGTTAGATGCAAAACCGCAACCCTTGATGAATTGTTTCGAACGTAGTTGGCATGCGGTTTACAATTTGCGGTTTTAATTAACAGCAAAAAATTAGATGGTGGAAAAAGAAATAAAAAGATATATATACGTCCTTAGCGGGCCTGGCTAATTATCAAATTATATTGCGACGCAAAATATAGAGTTGTTGGTTCATAATGTCTGCGGTTGTACAAAAACCACACGGTCCAAAGACTCTACAAATAAGATTTTTAAAATTCAAGAGCACTCCAGCCCTATGTGGGAAGGAACAAAGAATATTTGTTTCTCACTTACGAGATTTTCCTAATAGTTGAAAATTTATGGATGGTGCAATTAACGTTTCTGACGCTTTTAACTAAGCGATTAGAGGTGATAACTTTCCATGCTGACAGTGTATTAGCAGTCACTCTTGAGGGCAACGTTATTGGTTCTTTGATTGTAAGAAAGAAAAGAAACCTTTTCCTTTTCATGTTGTGTTTGCTCCTTTCGATTTCATTGCAAAAGATCAAACATCATAAAATTTGCTTCAAAATGGGGCTTATGATAACGTGCGTGGCTTGCAGTTTCGTGTGCGCCCTTAGTGTTCTGCATATAAATCGCCGAAGCTGTGGTCCCCAACCCCTCGCGGCTCCGCCGCTCTTCCGTTTGGTTCAAAAGTAGACAATTAAATTAATTAATCAAGTAACTGCATGATGGCCGTACAAAATTCGAAATTTTTGTCGAGGGGAAGAAGAGCCCATTAGAAACTTGATGCTCAAGAATGAACCTTGTTAGGCAGGGGTTTGGGGCTAATTGGAGTGATCACAGGTATATCGCAAAAGACCTAAGAAACAAAACGCTCACTTAGTTCCTCGAGAAAGAGGCAAAGAGCACATATGTACGTAGCAGGTTTATGTTTTCATCAAAGGAGCTACTGAATGAACAAAAAAATGAAATTGGGATCGATCAACCAGGTGTTATTAAATGCTTTTGTGCTTGGTCAACTATGAAAAAAGCGAATGATTAAAGGGGTAAGTTTCTAAAGAAACTGTGGTGCTGCGTCGGTGGGAGAGTAAAACAAGATAATTTAGTATTATCAACCGGTTTATATCGTAAATTGGCCACCGTAGAGAGTTAAAAAAGCTGACGTTTCGAGCGTTAGCCCTTCGTCACAGCGATATGAAAAAAGCAGCGGCCTAAATTCTACATAAATTCCGTGTGCTTCCCCGTCGGTGCTTAGATATAACTTGAATGATGAGACGAAGATGACCAACTGGCCATGTATGGTTTATAGGATGGTTGTAAACAGGAAAACCTCGGAGAAGTGAACCGTTGTAGCTTTCACACATTAGCTAAGTAGTTGGTTAGACGAACTGAACTGGACGGATTAGGCTGGCGATCGATCTTTATCGATCTTTGATAATTACATTTTCTCTTCGTTCATGTTTTGCCTTTTATTTCCCAACAACTTTAATTTCATCAACAGTGATCTACTCGGGGACATTCAGACACAGGTAAAATCTACTCATTTAATTATTGATCAATCTGAAGAAACCCTCATGAATCTTATGTGGGACATAGCTCTGTGCCTGAATTCGTGTCATGATACGACTATTTCAAATTGTGCTCATTTCAACTTCTCCTGATTATGTAATAAAGTTACCTTTTATCGCGTGTGGTCCCCACTGCAAATCTATTGTAAAATGTACCCAATCATCTCGGTAGGTTCTGCTCTAAAACTGCTCAATCTTAGGATACAGCAATCCAACTTAAGAGACAATTCTTGTCTAACTGTTAACCAAATATGAATTGGAAAACGCGTGTAGTGGATTCTTGCAATAAGCTTCTCAATTTCCTGTCTCAGCGCAACATAGATAAGGCAAGACATCTCTCATGGGTAGCTAATTAAATTTTTCAATTGGTTGTAATTAGAGAAGTCTCGAGTTTAATGTAAAAATGATATCAAAATTATAAGGTGTTTGTTCCCAGGATGGCAGTACACACGAACATAACATAAACGTGAAGAAGTTGCATCACTTTTGGGAGTTCAAAGCACGCATTTCTCAAAAAGTAAAGACTTCTTCACGGCAGGGGCCACACAAGGTTTCTCGATCGGCATTGGCCATTCTTGATACAGACTCAAAAGGAAACGCCAAATGAAAAGCAGATGGCACATTTCATACTGAATAGAGCCTGAACCTCACTTATTATGATTTGAATCTGTGTTTACTCACTCAACTTGTCGTGCTAAGTTGCATCATGACGAGGCTTTATCAAAGTGAGCTATGTTTGAGAAGTCAACGAATCATTGATGAATTGAAGACGTTCATGGGGTGGCTGTTATTTGATATTCTCTTGTTTAAATAATGTGGCGGGATGTCGCTCCGGTGAATGCTTTTTTCAAAAATAAAGGACACAACTTGAAGTCTGCTAATATTCCATAGAATAATTCCGCACGCTTGACCTTCGCCGTGATGGGTGGCATTACCGATTATATGCCCAGTCAAAATTGGGTAATATCACGGGTGATATGCCTTAAGGGATATACCTAAATTTTCAAATCTTGCGTCCAATAAGATAAACAATTTATTGAAAGGTGATGTGAGAGCAATTTGCTATTATTACAGAAGAAGGAACGGGATGGCACGTTTATCAAGTTTTACCAGAGAACACACATCCCCTTCAGATAGAGGACGGTCTTCACAGAGGGCTGTTCGAAAATGCTCTGCCCTGCGCGCTGCAAAAATGTTTGAGGGATTGTTACACACAATTGCCTCTATTTGGCGCAAAAAAATTTGCATTATTTGATCCACGAGGCACATAGAATTCGTAACGTCCATGGAAACATATTTAAGCATATCCTCGCGCCAAATGGGAGCTATTGTTAGTCTATCTTTCACCCAGTCGCCATGCGCCACGCGCCACGAGGGTCTGGATGCGCTCGCGATCCTCTCCACAGCTGGACACCGAGCCCTATGAGACAATAATGCAACACATCCTTCAATGATAAATGTCCTCGTTTAATAAACTAATATAATCAACACAGACCTAATGTGGTATAACTTAAACTGTTGTTCAAACGAATTTTGGTGCCCATATAAATCAAGCTACGTCCTATCTCGTAGAGAGGACAACTTCATGGCTAAGTAACCCTTAAAAAATTTTCTCTTATAATGTGTTATTTCAGCTTCGTCCTTCCACACAGTTTTGCCGTGTTACTTGGACTCATTTCCGGCTCAAACATCGCTCACTCTTGAGTTATTTCACATCAGTTGTCCTTTTTGGAAGGTAACACCTCAACGCAAAGTGAAATCAAAATAACCGATGCGCTTGCTAAATCTGCAACTGCCACGGCAAGAGCAAAACCTCGTTCAAGATGATTGAAATAGTACATGAGTGAAACTACAGGTATTTTCCATGCTATGCGATAAAACACCGCTGCTATCGGACAGGCCTCGTTTCCATCTCCTCCTCCCAAAACTTGCAGCCAGCCAATAACCACCATCTGCATGAAGAACAGGGATACCATGCCCTTTGAAAAGCCTTGAAACGCGTCCAGGCCCATCAAATCACGCGCTACATCGGGCCTTACTATAAGGGTAACTGATATCACCATTTCTAAATAGCTGATTATTTGCACGATGTTCGAAGACCAATTTTTTGCGGGACCAAGGAAGGGAATCATCAACTTTCCTATCTCCACAAGACACTTTTTTAGAGACGCTTCTGGAGTATTACGATACCAAATGATGTATGTTACAATTGCCAGCACAGAATCAAGTAACGAAAATGCCGCTGCAAAGGGTAAAGAGAGCAAGGATTGGTAACACAGCCATACCAAGACTGCCACAACGAAAAGCAACCTCTCGGGAACGGTTCCCAAAATTGCACCGTTTCCAGTTATTAGAGGACGAGATTTCGCCATAACAATGTAGAGAAAACCTATAACAGTGAGTAAAGCACAATTTATCCTCCAGTACGCTTTATCATGGCCAGTAAATTTCATGAAGAACAAGGCAGAGAGCAGCTCAGGGAAGAAGACGCCAAGTAAACCACTGATAAAGTAGGCCAGGACCGCAGACCACATCGTGAAGACGCGTAGAGTGGCGGAAGTTTGACTTTCAGAGATAGCTGGGATAGACATCATCCTACAGAACCAATTTGCTTTCGTAAAGTTACGAGAATCAATTGTAGCCTGATGGAGGAAAATTCATATATGATATTTAGTGTAACACTGAAGGTTGGTATCCTCATCAGCAGTTGAAAAGTTTGCAACCACATGAAACCCGCATGATAAACCCTTGTCTCTTTCGTTTCCGTTCAGTCTGACCTACACGCCTCACGCGAGGACCTTTGGGGCTTATAAATAGTGTCGCTCACATGATCAATTTTGCTCAGCGCCAAAGTCCACCCAGTAGCAAAATCTCCATCTGATGTATCGTCACCAGACGTTCAATATGGGAGGCGAGCGATGGAAAAACGTGAGTAACCGCACGCGCGCTGTTTCAAACGAGTGGAAGTTATTAACCCTTTACACTCTAACATCAGTTTACATATTCTCCAGACTGTTCTCTATACATTTCCTATGTTACTGACAAAGAGAATTTGGTTAACAATCAAGAGCTTCTTTAGTTGGTGATCATTTCCTTTATTCTCATGACATCAATGTTTGTTTTAGGACTGATACTAATAAAGGAAAATGGTTACTAATCACTCTTCATTAGGGGTTATAGGGTTAAAGACACTCCAGCGGCTAAATTTTTCTCTTCTATTTTTGTTCCTTTTTGCGTTTAGTATCTTAAAAATTAGATCAAATGTCGACCCAGCTTAAAACTACAAACTACACAGCAAATAAAACTATTTTTCTCTAAAATCAATTTAACCGACCCAACGGAACGCAATAAACGTTTTTGAGAAGCGGACGGCAGCCGAAAGCTGGTGCTCACTACAACCTTTTATTCAGCGCAGTTTGTTCAATTAGAATGCTAAAATGGTGACCTAACTCAGGGTAACAGCTACTGTTGTGAAAGACCGTTACGTGTCGTAGCACATAGGTCGCTGACTTATTAACGATGCTTTCCTTCTTGAGTCTGTTTTTATTTGGTTGTATTGTATCTATCTTTTTTCTCTTATTTTTGACACGGGAGGATAATAATTATCTCAAACCAGAAACCGGAGGCTTACCACTTCGGAAGGCGCTCCAAGGTATTAATAATTGTCATGACTGTTACTGACCCCCGAACAAGTCACCCGCACGTTGTCTCCTCATCTCAGTGTTATTTCGAACGTAATAAACAGCTACCAAACTTGACACCTTCTGATTCTATTACTTCTTGACTCTCAAATGATCTCAATCGTCAAGGGAATGTTATTTTTGGAAGATAAATATTGTCGTGCTGCCAAAATTAAATTATGGACTTGAGACTGAGTGATACCTGCGGAGTGCGGCAAATCCACGAATATCACGAGAGTCAGTAAAAGCTCTCAGTTTATCTCTAGACTTCATCGTGGTCTGATTCATTTCGTAAGAGACCCATGAAAATCCAGTTACTTTCCGCCACAAATTTAATCATCTTGCATATCATAATACACTAACTTTGAGCGAACTTCAAACTCAGTGACGCTATCATGACTGCCTCTGAGAATTCAAGCAGACCACACTCTCAGATGAGATTCAGATCAGTGTTTCAAGTGAAGGGCCTCTCTGGTGCGTACGAGCAGTAATTCATCGTAAAATGGCACGGCATAGTTACTAGCTAATTATTGAACAAAGCATCGGTTAACACTCGTGCACTGCACCGCAATTACCAAAATTATTTTTGGAATCTTTAAAGAATTGAACGAGTTCAAATACTTACTGTATTCTCCCTTCGCCTTCGGCTTTGTCTTCGACGTTTGACGACCGTTTCTCCGGCGCGAAGCACTTCAGTCAAATCCTCCATGGCGTCGAGTCAAGTTTATTAGATCTGGCTGTAAGTTATTCAGTAGTTAATGGCATTATCGATTATTCAACCGGTAACAAAGACGGTGGTTCTTCGCAAATAATGTCGTTATGCAAAAACTGGCACCCAAGGAAATGTCTGTTTACAGAGCATGTTATGTGATATGAACTTTCAACAATGTTGTTTCTTACATGGCTCTACATGTACAGTATAACGATATATTGTTATGTCCTTTGCCCCGGCATGTATCTGGTGTGGAATAAGTGATCTCGCTGATCGAATTAAGATCGGTTCAGGTCGGAACAACTCGGATCTCTTCGGATCAACTTAGGTTGAACGAGATTGGATAACGATGTGATAAGCCACCTTTTCGCTCAATAAGTCCCTGTCAATGGTTTGTTAAACAGCCATATTTTCAGAGCCTGGTCCTCTTTAAAGATTTTATACGGTGTCCCTGCAAAACACTCGGAGAAGGACTGAGGCTGCATTGAGGACGACAACTCAGATAGTGCTCTGTTTTGAGAATATAACCCTCCTGTTTTAATCTTTTACCAGCCTGACTGACTCCTGTCTTATCTTTGGTATGATGAAGCCACTGACCCAATGAGGAACTCTCTATAGTCGGTTCTCAGTATTAGGCTGAACCACCTTTACCTAGACCCCTGAGGGGGGAGGGTATGGGAAGTGCCAAGCCGTTCCAGCGGATTATAAGTGTTATATCTTTAACCATGGAGGAATATAATGTAAATAGTTCACTTTCAAGAGCGAATGGCTTGAACCTGGTCAATGTGTAGAAAGTCACGGTCACCGATTTTGCGTCTTACAAAAAAATTGGGAGGGGCATTTGAACACAATTTGAAGGAACCAACCTTCAAAAGTTCCAATGCCCGAAGGGTTGCCCTACACGTTTAGGGTTTAAATAAAAACCCAGCACATGAGATTTTGAGGTGACAATTTATTTTTGTCTAAAACTATTCATCACCAAAGTGATCTATTTCATCAATTTTTTTGTAAATCGTTTAATCCAGGACTAGTTTTTCTTCTAATCAAGTGTTCAATAACCCAATATGCTGTGGAGTACAAGCATATGACAATGAACTCAGTAGCTTCCAACTAGTACTCAAAACTCCAGTCTCATCAAACTTTCTGCTATTTGTTTCAAAATTCCTGCCTGATCGCAAGAATTGAGTGAACAGTATATTACTACTCTGATAATTTTTACTTTCATGATCTACATCAGTCTTGTCAGAGAATAAGGAGAACAGGATGAGTGTTGTTGTGTTGTTAAGTAAGGAAAGGAAACAAAGAAATTGGACATGCTTAACTGATAACTCTAGCAACTAAGTTTAATACAAAATAGTTCTTGGATACCATCAGCATTCAAATAGTAAAATATTTTGGTTAAGAATTAAATGTAACAAGAAATATCTGTCATCAAAATATTACAAAGCCCAAAGATGTCTCTAACCCAAACTACCATTAATTTTTCCTGGAGCACCTTATTGACAGTTACATATTCCCTTGAGAATATATAAAGAGAACTTTCCCATAACAAATATGAACTTGGAGTAAACTACTTTTTAAGATTCTGTATATCTGAACCATAGGAGATTCATGGAACACATGTGCCTCAACCTTTAGAGTGGATCTTTTCCAAGCTCCGCAGGACTATGCGAAATATTTTGATGACTAATTGTTAAGAACTGTATAAGCAATTGGAAACTGACACATGTAAATAATTGCACTACAGGCTTTGTCAAAGGAAATGATGTTTTTTTTATTTTTCTTTCTTTTTTTTAAGGAAGATCAAAAGAATGATTTTTTTTTAATCATTCAGCTCAACAAAGACAGAAAGATACCTATGCAACCTTGTGGTAACTACCTAGAGAGGCTGACAGATGGATGAATAGAAGTGATTTGAGAGATAAAACTTAACTCCATCCAAGTGGATCATTTAAAGAGGCTCTCCAAAGGTTTTGTGGATGCCTCTACATTGTAAAAAGCCTAGTACAAGCATAAAGCCAGATGATCTTGCTGCCTTAATGCTTGCACTTAATCTGCAAAGTAAATGTCCATTCATCTCACAGTGCCTCTGTAAACGTTCAAATGGAATGGGAACAACATGCAATTTTCTCTTCTCGCACTTTTAGCAGCACTCAGTTGGACAAGGAAGTAAGAATGTGTACATACAAAATGGTATAATCATCAAAGGACAACAGGAAAAATTAATCAGGGTCACCCAAAGGAGCCTGCTAAGTTTGTATACATAAACAGTTATGGAAATACTTCCAGCTAACCATTAACATTGTGAGCAAATAAACTGCTGAGGTCCTACTAATGATCATTCATTACATATAAAGCACACCAGTATGAGGAACAACAAAGCCCCCTTGTAAAGGCTCAGGTCTGGTTCAACTTGTGTAGCATAAGAACAACATCAGTGTCTTCATCTTCAGCTATCACAGTTTTTGTGTTCATGAGGCAACAGCTTTTCAAGATGATTTTTTTAATAAATTTGATGGAGTTAATATCTTTTCTGTACAGACTGAAAGAAGCATGATTTCTTCAAGCAGCAATGTTTCAAGAACTAGATGGTTGACCTCTTCTCAGCAAAAAATCGCCTTAAAATGACTACTTGACAGATTCCAACAGAAAGAATTAGGCAAGCTTCTCCAACAGACCACCACTGTATCCTTTCATTTAAATACTCAGCCATGTCCCGTCCTTGAGACTCACGTAAACGATGGTGGGTTTGGTAGTCTGTTGCAATCTGAATGAGAAATATTAAATAAAAGCTCATTACACCTGCTTTTGTTTATTCTAATTATCCTTTTACGTTTTTTATCAGTCATTTGATTGGTGTCCTTATTTAGTGGGTAACCACCATATTTATTGACGCAGTAATAAAGTTATCATCATTATTATAGCAACTAGTTTACACGAGTAAATCAAGTTATTCACAGACAGAGCACACATCATTTCAAATATATTGTTGGAAAATGTTTTGAATAGACAAATGAGAGTCTCCCACCAGAGGCCACATGAGAAATGACTAATCATTGCAAGTTAGTTGCAACTGATGAAAAGTAATTGCAGAATTAAAACCAGGAAAAATAAAAGGCCTGGGTATAAAATTTGTGCCTCCCAAATGTGAGTTGGTTTTTTTAATTACATACATCAATTGTCATATCCATTCTAAGAGCAAGTTATTTTTCAGCTCACTTCATCCATGAAAACCCATGTTTTAAAGTTAAGCTTCTTTTTGCTTGAAATCATGGACACTTCAGGTGATTCCTCAGAAAAAAAAAGTTATCAAACAATTTTTCTTAAAACTTTCCCTAACTGTTCCCTTCCAATGTCTGATTTGAAAAATATTATAAAAAGATACATCAAGTCGTGCTTTTTTAAGAGATACGATGAGCCAAACTCACCCCATATAAGCCTGTACTGGCACTAGTAACACACGTTATACATGTACATGTATGGTAGCAGGAGGCAAGGGTTTTTAAAGTAACACTTGAAGAAACTTTATGGGCAGAAAGTACTGAGGGAATGGAACAATTTGAATGATAACTTGTGCCAAAATCACACAATTTTAACCCTTTGACCCTTCAGAGTGACTAACATCTAATTTCTCCTCACAATATCTCTCCTGAATCACACATGAAAAGGTCACGGGAATAAAGGAAATGATCATCAACTAAAAAAGCTCTTGATTGTTAAACAAATTCTCCTTGCCAGTACCTTAGGAAATGTATAAAGAACAGTATAGAGAATATGCATACTGATGAACATTAGGGTGTAAAGGGTTGAAAAACTTCAACTACAAATGTTCCTCCAATCATTACTTTCAAAGTCATTGTTTCCATCCTCAAGTAACAGGCTTCTAGTATGCTTTTCTCTATATCTTTTTTCTTCCAATTTTTTTAAAAACTTCTCCAATCTTCAGAGGATAACCCGTACACCAAAATTATGCAATAAAAAATATAGGTCACATTGCCTGTGCAAGAACTAAAGACCATGGTACCTCTTTAACTGGTCCATTGATTGAAAAAACAATGCCATGTTCTCTGAATGCCTGTGCACTTATTCCCCTGATTACATGATTTTTTATGCCCAGTAGAGGATGCACAGTGCACTACTGAGGAATCACCTTTAGGAAAGCTAAGTAACAAACAATTTGCCCCTGTCCTTCTTAATCTTTTACATCCTAACATTAATATTCACACTCTACACACTGTTCTCTTTACATTTCCTCTGATACCAACAAGGAGAATTTGTTTGACAATCAGCAGCTTCCTAAATTGGTGATCATTTCCCTATTCTTATGGCATTCACATAGGATTTGAGGGTAATAATGTAGGGAGAAATTACGTGCCAGTCACTCTGAGGTGTTAAAGGGTTAAAGGCAAGGTGTACACAGTACATTTGGCTTAAAGTTGTACAAATCGCATAGCATGAGCTGCATGTCAACAACTATGAAGATTCTGCTAAACAGGACCAACCTTAAGGTCTTCGTGTATGGTTACACATGCTGTCTCCATCTGTGTGAGTGCTGTTTGATGTGCTCCCATGTCTTTAGTTAAAGGCATTTCATCTCCAGCTTGGAAATCAAAGTAAACCACCTTGTGACTAAATGTAGAAAATTCATTGCTGAAGCAGAACTTGTAAATTCCATCAGTCTGAGCTGTGAAAGAATGGCTGTCATACTGTTTCTTTTGGACGTTGTAAACTTCGTTACCATTTTCATCATAAAGAATTACATCTACATCATAGTTTCCACCACTTATGACCTGAAGAGAAAACCACATTATTTAGAAATTCTACTTCTGCTTTGGTTTCTGGACATTTTTGAAAGGACAGCTTTTTAAATAAGGTAATACAGATACACCCATCAATGGAAAGATAAGACAAAATATGTGCAATGCTGGATAAATACCACAGTGACACACTTGCAAGATCAACCTGATCAATGTTCTCCCTAAAACAAGAAAGGGTTAGCATTTTTTATGACAGATCTTTACTTATGGAAACCCAGGAGGGGTAGCCACAGTAGTTGTACTTAGTTAATTAACTTTAGCTTTCTCTAAATGACTGCATACCTTTGGTTTTAGACAAATTGTAAACTCTTGTAAGTCCATTAACACACTAGATCCTTAGATAAATGTCCTCACAGCTTTACAGCTTTAACAGTTATCATTTTGAAATATAGGATTTGATTAATGAAATAAAGGATTTAATTGATTGTACTGGGTATGATTTTTTTCTCATCTCCGTTAGCAGTGCTCAAAAATAGTGGTCATCTGGTCATCAGAAACAACTAAAAAAACAGTCCAGACGACCATTTTTCTGTAAAATTAAAGGCCTGGTTGTCTGAGGAAAATAACACCAGACAAATCAGGGGAAATTAAGATACTTTCCCTTACAGTGAAGTCTAACCCAATAACAAAATAAAGGTATGTGAAAGACTTATATCTGGTGATATTGTTTGTTAGTTAGCAAACTGCCATGTTTACAAACCCAGGCCTCCCCAAAATATTATGGCAAGCAGGTAATCATTCTTTTCTGAGGCATTGTGGGAGAGCAGTTTGCAAGTTGTTGAATATACATTTGCAGGGAAAAAAATGTCAATTCATTCTGGCTGTCGGAGAATAGCAAGCCAGCTTTGACAAAAGCCATCAATGCTTAATTATAGGGTTTTAAACTAGGTTATTATTAAGGGGAAATATAACTATGTTTCAGAAAACAGGGGACCATTTTGTCTGCTATTCCCTGCTGATTGTTTGTTGGTCGGTCTTTGTTGGACCCTTTTGGCTTTTTGCTGATGTAGCTGTATTTCTCTTTCGTGAATATGCATGTGCTATACTTTCTGTTTCAAGGAAGTTCATTTACCAAGTGTTAAGTTGCTAACTTGAAAGCATGAACATCCTGCTTGAACAATGTTTCCAGGATGCGATTTTGCACCACTTTGCAAAAATTATGTCAGGTAAAAGAAACCCTTTTGACCACAAAAGTTGTCAGCACTGTTGATTTGTTGATTTGTGCTAAGCACAGTCAAAAAGTATCTGAAAACTTGAAAGTTCAAAGTATTAAGAGTATTCATTACTGAACTGTGATTGCTGATCATTAAAACAGGATTTAATGGATAGTTACACTAACATTATGTGCAACAATTAGGTTTTTTTGATTTGTAAATTTATTATCTGAGCTAATGCATGACAGTTTGGAGACCTGTGGAAAGGTTGGGGTATCTAAATATTGTATATGTGGAAGCTTAGATATCCTAGATAACCCTCCCTCCAAGCCAAAAAGACTGTTAGCCATTTTTTACCAGTATCAAATCAGGCTAAAATTGGCCCAGGATGGTGAAAAATTAGCCTTGTTTGCCAATTATTCCGCATATACATTTCAAGGCTAAGGAGGATGATGCAATGTGCCTAAAGCAACTTCCATTTTATTAAAGAGGATATTTTTACATCAGCAACATGGCCATATTTGACAGAAGATAACTGCATTTGCTTTTAACATTAATTCAACCATAGAGGTGCCCCTAATCACTTATTGCAATGGTGCCTTCAATAGGCTATTTGTAAACATATGTAGCATAAACTCTAAGTCAAAAGACCTCACAACAAGTGGTCTTTGTTGAAAATTGTTCCTGGTGACAGCACCTTGATATATGTAAGACAGTAATTGCAGATTTCAAATGTCTAATTTTGGAGGCTAAACTTAATAAAGAGGGTAAAGTTTCTTCTTAAAGTTCCTAAATACAATGAAATCTTGATTGTGCAATAATAAATTCTAAGTGCTGAGTATAAAATTTTTAAATAGATCAGTTTTAAGTCCTCTTTATCATCTGCAGGTGTATAACAAAGAATAGTCAACAGTACCTCTTCGTTTCATGAGACAAAATTGTAATCCCAAGACTTGTGGAAAAATCTCCTAATAACATGGGGGCATTGACAAACCAATACCTATCATTTTTTCCCTTACAATCAAAGAACGTTTAAACAGCGAAATATTTTGCTATCAGTAGTATATGGGTTGAATATACCAGCGGTCAGTTGTACGCAATTAATAGTGATCAAATTAGGAGGTTTTTTTTGTAAGTGTACACTCCGAAAATTACACAACAAAGAGTACCGAACAAACATTTATATTAGGAATCTAATATAAAGTAAAAGCCATATACCTTTGCCGGATCAAACATCAGCTGATTTATAGTAAGAGATTTTAAAGCTGATACAGTTATTTGTAGGCACATGTCTAATTATCTAAAGATGTTTCATATTACGTCGCAAAAAAAAAATTAGAAGCTCCTCAAGAATAGATGGATAATTACAAGAAATCTCAGTTCTCGTATCCTAGATAAATTGAACACTGACCTGAAACTCAAGCGTTCCTTTGGTATCTTTTTTGATGTCTTCATAGAAACATTGTCTAGCGTTGTCTTCCAACTCAAAAGTCAACTCAGTACATTCAACTGGGATCGATGCTAAAAACGTAAAAACTAATCCAACTAAAACAGTACTCAACCAATTCATGGTACGCTACTTTCACTATCAGCTCCTTGGCCAGATCAGCGGGGAAGCAAGTAATATAAATTGTTTTAACGCCGGTTTTATCCGACGCAGGATTTTTGTTTCGGTCAAAATGGCGCTGACTATACGTGGCATTAATGAAACGACCGTAGAGCCCTGTGGGAAGAAAAAGTTTCGGCGACACGTTCTACTCAGTGGCAGGCTCAGCGGCTATCTCCAAAGGAAAAAAAAAAAAAAAAAATTTCCTCTACCCCTCCCCTATAAGTCAGTTTTTGTAAATTTTACAATCCTCACGACTCCTCCCCTGTGGGACTTCTTTGTTATTAGTGTGTAGATACTGGCACTAGTAATAATTTTCGCGGGCAAATTCCCATGAGATATGAATTCATCTTCTGAGTTACAATCTATTCATTTCTTCGTTTTTTCTGGTTTATCATGAAGAAAATGCTTGGATCGAAGATTAAGCATCCTGATAGATAATTGAGGAATGAGTGTTGGGATCAGCCAGGTGAATTTCGATGCTCAGGTATGCATTTGCAGTTTGACAGGTTGAAGTCAGAGTTGTGCTTGAAATCAACTTTGGCTGAGTCAATTTATCTCGAGACACAATGCACCGAAATACTGCTTGCTTTCGCTCTGCACATACCGCTTTTAGAAGCTATGATTTGAATCACTCGTCATCTCAGCAAAATATTTCTGGTTTAGCCATCGATAATTTTGTTCCTTGCGGCTTTTTTACAATTCATTTGGATCAAATTTCACCTATAATTTTCGTGTTGTGTGTTTGAACCGACTCAATTTTTGTTTAATTATATTGACAATACACAAGATTCTTTCTTCGTTCACTTGTAAAAGTGATACCTCAGTCAATTATTTTGGGTAAGGCAAGGGGTCTAGATCTAGCAAACAATGACAAAGATCTGGATGTTTATTGCCATTTCACACAAGAAGTTACTTTAGCGAATCTTTAGTGGGATAAAGGAGCGCGTTGATTCTTTGTGTTTTCGTGTGTCAATGTTTGCTGATCACATCTGCCATGCATGCCAATTTTCCCATTTCGTTGAGACTGTGTTTTCGTCAAAAAGGTCTTTTAGCATCCAAAATGACCGTCGAAATACACGGAATCTAGCAAAATTAAAAATATCAAACAAACCTCAGTTAATTAAGAATAGGAAGCTTGCGGTTTAATTGAATATACATGAACTTATTAACATCTCTCAGATCCAGGTATTGTGTAAAGCTTATTAAAAGTGGAAATGTTGGCAAAAAATTTAAAGACATCAAGAATGTATTTTCTCCTGTATGAGCCTGAATCAGGCAAAATGGCAATTCTTTAAAATACCTTTACCCCCTGCCTTCATTTTAAAAAGGTAGTTGATGTCATATCCTAAATTTCCCATGGACATCCTGTCTTGATGAAGATTTTCTTGTAATCCACCACAATCAAACAGGAACACATAGATTTTTTGAAGTACCCTGCCAAATATACATCGATAGATATGTGACAATATGAATTAGATTAAATTTCTGAAAGAAAGTTTCTTGAACTCGGCCAAACCTGGCAATGTATATGTCTGCATGCATTTTTTTTTTCTGGACAAATCATCTGGTCACTTTTTCTTTTTGTTGTTGGTTTGTTTTTTTTTTTTTTTTTCACACTGTGCAGTTTCCATTTGAAACTGTGAAATTAACACCCTTGAGTCTTGTCACTTTAGGGCATTTCTTGATATGAGTTTTAATCTTACTCAAAATGGAAATAACAAAGCAAAAGCACTCAAGGGTTTCCCATAAGTTCCTTGCTGTTAACAATATGACACCTTAAAGTGGACATGCAAAAAAGCAATTTTAAATAAGCCTACTTTAAAATTCCATTTTCCACGACTCAGAGTTTTTTACATAATTATAAATTCATGTGTTTAGAATTAAGCATAAAAAAATGAGTAGCCCTCTTAGGGTTAAAGCTGACAGGCAGTAAGATCAAAAAAATTTCAGAGATATGCATAGATATAGTTCATATCATCAGGCAAAAAAGGTTTCTTGACCATTTATAAACTTATCATCCACACCGATTTGTGATTAAGATGCAAAAAGAGAAAGATTAGGAACTCATTGTCAGTGCCTTTTTTTGTATGACAGGTGTTGGAAGATGAGGAAGAAGCAGCGTTGGAGAAAGAAGATCAAGAGAGAGAGCAAGAGGTACAATGAATTTCACCAACTTTATAAAAAGAGATCATGTTATTGATGTTGTTTTATAATTTTCATAGGATTTCATTTTTTTTTTTGTACTTTCTTGGTGACAGAAAGAGTATGAGATTTATGCTAAAGCCGAAAAAAAGATATGAAGATGATAATGATCTTGGCATTAATGAACACTGCTTAAGCAGAAGTGAAAATAAGGCATGGAAAAAAATTCAGACCTGTATAGGAGTTGAACCCACGACTTATGCAGTACCAATCACTCTCATCTTCATTTGTTTATCCACAGTTAAAGATATGATGTTCATAAATTCACAGCCTTTGTATTATAATGTAATAGGATTACATGCAGTCTTATTTTGAAATAATTGAATGAAAAAATTCTGACAACAGCCAAAATTTCTGTTGGAATATAGTTAGAAAAAATAACTATTAAGCATGATTTTTTTTGTACTGAAAGATCATAAGGAAGGATAAATGCTTTTTTTGTATGGTCTAGTTCCTTATATAATTAAACATTCTGTACACTCTTAGATTTGGGTAAGTAAACATCCATACATTCCATACTTGGAACTGCTTAATTTAGTGTAAGTAGTTTTGTTTCTATTCATGTATTTTTGCATTTTATTATGTTATATTGCTAGCTTACTGTTCAATGCCAGGTTTTGTTTATCCTGTGTGGAAAGAGATTAGGTTATTAAGACCTACAGTAAAGTTCAAAAAGTAAACTTTGTCTTTATTCTACATCAAAGTTTAGCTAGTGTCTGATACAGTATGCTGCGTTTATTTTTCTTTCTATAAAGATTCGAGAGTTGTTAGACCGTGAACTGGACGATGGACTTCTTGATGATGATAATGCATCGTTTTCATCACATGATCTTCGAAGTTCAGGATATAGTAGAGAAACTCCATTCTCAGATGATTTTTCTGAACAAGTACCTCCAGCTATCTTTAATAGACAAGATTCAAAGACAATAATACCATCTGAAAATGGGGCATTTGAAAGACCACCTCTGATGACACAGCGTGCATTTCATCTAATCAATGAATCAGGAAAAAGGAAAGGGTTAAATGCAAATGAAGCACAAGGACCTTACAATTATGACAATGGGTATCAATTTGAGAATCAGTATGAAAATCAAGCATTTTATTATAGAGAGCAGGAAAGTCCTGATGATGAAGGCCATGATCAGTACAACAGAAAATATAATGGACATGAAAATGGTGTGAATTATCATCAAACTTTGCCGAATGATGTTGATGTGGATGCTGATGAAGGCTTTGAACAGTATGGAAGCTACAGTCCTCATCAACATTTACAAGGACAAGCCTCTCCACAGCATGGTATGTATGGCTATCACTCTACACAGCCAAAGTATCCTCGCTCAACATTAACAGAAGACGACAGTAACCATGGTGGTTATAACTTGAATGAAGATTATGGAGGTTACAATGAGGAACAGGCATATTCACAAGCTCCTGTACAAAATATTTATGCCCATGATGCAGACAGTATACAGTATTCAAATGAACAAAATCATTACAGAATGGACACTCCTGGAAATTACAGAGTTCATTATCATGGACATCATGAGAGATATCCCCATGCAAGTGACAGGAGAACTGTGAGAGAAGAACAAGGAAGAAGTGACAGTGAAAATGGATTTTCAGGAGATGGTGCTCAGGACACTACACAGCTTCAGATACTTTACAAAGCACGAGGCAGAAAAATTGAAGAGTTGACACAGAAACTCCAAAACCAGGAAGAGGAGATGGCAAAAGAGATCCGTATTTTAAAACACCAGATTGCAATGATGAAAGGTTTGTAGAAGTAATGAAATTTGTAGTAAAAACCAAAGCTTAATTAATCACCTCACCAATCAGAGAAAAGGTGCTGGTAAACATCTCAAGGAGAGAGAGGAAACTGAAAGGAAATGGGTTAATTGACCCTCATGAGAACTTTATTCATACACTGCTTCATGCATTTTGCTGTTTTTCTTAATTTATATCTCTCCAGATGAGCGTGACGGCATTTCAACAAGTCTTGAAAACTCACAGAAAATGGTGCAAGCATGTAATACAGAATTGAACAATCTGAAAGGCCAACTTGCTGCTGCTTATCAGCAGATTAATGCTCTGAAAGAAAGTAAAGAGGAGGTAATTGAAAAACAGATTGAATTGATTCATTGGAATTATAATTATAATAAACAGATGTCACTCAAACTTTCTCTTGTCACTCTAAGGAAAAAGTTTAATCCATGAGTTATATAAACTCAGAAGAAAATTGACATTAGAATTTTATTCCTATTCAATTTTTTTGTATTAGTGTAAGCAAAATAGGAGTATTATTTACCACCAAGATGGTGATCTCTCTTATTCTAGGTAACCCCTTTTTTTTAATCATATTTCCTTTGAAGATTTAAATGTTGCAGCCAAGAACACATCACCATGACCCTGGCCAGAACTTGAACTCTGACCTCTGACCTCTGACCTCTGACCTTGTGTCATACCAGAGTTCATGGTTCTGACCAGTAGGTTACCACATCTTCTATTCCCTCTTGATTCGTAGTTTTTTCAATATTTTCAGGTGGTCAGCAAACTTCATGTCAGTGAAACCACAATTGACAGCTTGAACCAGCAGTTGGTTGAATTAAGTCGTTCAGAATCCTTGACTAGAGCAAAAGAACAGCATGAAAGTGTCACAAATGCCATGAAGAAGAAACATGAAGAGCAAACCCTGACACTAAAACAGAAACTGGATGAGGCTATTTTATCAAGGGACTGCAAGGTGAAAAAAGACAATAATGTATTACATTTTTTGTTGTTTATGGAGTTTGACAGACATTCCATTTAAGACATAAGTTGGTGGAAATAATGTTTAGTCGAGTTAACATTATAATTTGTTATGTTTTTAGCATGAAGAAGTTAATCAGTTGAGGGATGAACTTGTCCAGAAAGCAGAAATGATCAATTCATTAACAAGAAGTCTGGATTCCAGTCAAAAGCAATGTCAAGAAATCCTTAAGTCAGGTAGAAAGATTGAAATGATTGCCAATGAACCATTTGTGCAAAGACACAAGGATGGCCTCTGGTGCTAACTGTGCTGATGCTTGACTGTTCAAAACACACTAGAAATCTCAGAGCAAAGGAAATTTATCACTGACATCCTCTAAATTTATATATATTTACACCCTTTGCCTATCCTGTGTCACTGATTTTTATGCCTGGTTGTGCTTGATAATATCATAGGGACAATGTCAGAAATCAACCAATTGCGCCTGGCTCTTCAAGAGACTTCAACTGCCAGGAATATTGCTGAAGGCCAGTGCATTTCTCTCAAGGTTTGTTTTGTTACAATTGATTTTATTTTTAATTTTATTTCAATTTGTACAATCTTTGAAACTTTGGTATATACCGGTAGTTATTGTATCAAACTGTGTGCTGTTTTTTTTTATGTATTAGCATGAGCTGTCAGAACTTCAAGAACAGATCAAGATGTATGAAAGTGCAAGCAGGCTTGGTATAGGATCAGGGTCTGGAGGCCATAATGAATCTTTGCCACATCTGACCGCAAGAAACTTGAACAAAGAAAATTGGAGCACTCCAAAGTCTCAGTAAGGAGAGATTATCTGTAATTAACTGATAAATACTTGTCGCTTACAATATTAACCCTGAACTGAACATTAAGGTCAGGAGAATAAAGAATAGGTTCACCAACAAAAGAAGCTCTTGATTGTTAAATAAATTCTCCTTGTCAGCAGCTTTGGCAATGTATAGAGAAGAGTCGGGAGAATAATTATGCATACTGATGTTTGAGTGTAAGGGGTTATTGTGCTTTGCTGTGTTTGAGCTCCAGCTGTTATCTTGGATGCTAGTATTTTGAAGTCAGGTTTTGATTTTACTCTTCTAGAGCTTTTTTTTTTCTTTATTTTCTGTCAGTAAAATTCCATTGGAAGAAACAGTGAGCGAGCTAAGGAAAGAACTTGAGCACTGCTTGATCAGTTACAAGGCTAAACAAGAACAGGTGCGTGAACAAGAGACAAACCTTGGTACCCTTAAAGTTCAGCTGAGAGATCAGGAAATGAAAGCTCAACGGATGGAACAGATTGCACAGGAACTTGAGGTGGAGTTCTATTTATTGGTTTAATCAGCAGTTTTTAATACATTACTTCAAATTTCAAGTGCTGCATCATATTTCACCCATAGCACCTGCTTTTTGCTTTAGTTTAGACCAAAGGCTAATAGAAATTTATTTATTTACAAGTGTTTCCCCTTTCATGACATCCACCAGAATAAATCGTTACAACTGGAGAAGAAAATTAGAGAAATGGAGGATGACAAGAAAGATCCTGGTAAAATGTTCTTTTTTTAATTTTTTCAAAATTATTCCCAGCTAGTGCCTGTTAAGTTATAGAGTCAAACCTATTTTTGCTAGGACACAACCCTCTTTTGGTTGGACAAGTATCCATTACATCATATCTAAATAAACCCCCCCCCCCCCCCCTTTCATTAAACAAGTACTTTTACCATGCTTCTTTTGTACGTACAGCCTTGAACTCAATGCAGAAAAAGTGATACAGCCATATTTAAAACCTGAACTTAGCTCAGAGTTAAATTCTTCCTCATTCCTTCCATCATTGATGCATCTTTGTATGTGCTGATCATTTCAGATGAGGAACAACAAAAAGTGCTCATGGATTTGGAAATAACAAGAAAAAATCTCCAGGTGTGTTACAGATTGTTGTGAACTTGTGAACTAGGAAAAAAATCCTCATCAGAGATATTGTTCATGTATAAATTTCCATTTTTCTTTGAATGAAGGAGTCTACTACAAACCTCAAAGAAGCTCTTCAGGAAAGAGATGATTTGACAGATGCATGTGCTGACCTTAAGCAGCAAATGGCTGAGGTATGCTAGTCATGATTACAAACCTTTGCATCTAGGTTGTACATAACTTAAACTTTAAGTTTTTCCCAACTGTAGCATCAGTTCTCTAATTCGATCATTTTTCCTTTCTTTTTCAGATGGTCGCAGAATTTGATGAAGACAAAAGGAACAGTTTAGAAAAGTACTTCTGCACTTTGATTTTGAACTATGATTGTTAGGGAACAAGTTATGTACAGAATCTGCACCAGAAGAGTGGGATTTGTTCTAGTGATGTTCCATTTTTGTAATTTCCCCTTTGATTTCTTATTGGACAGCCAGGACCAGGCTGTTGAAAGCTGGGCCAAGACAACCCAACTTAGTGTTAAATCTGATTTCAGATTTGAAAGCTTTAAAAGAAAATTTAGTAGCATTCGTTTTGATCACAATTTGATGATTGGATGCCCTACTAAGAATAAAGGAAATTATTCGAAAAAGGCTATTGAACAAAGGTTTAGAAACCCGGATTAAAATTCAACCCTAGGTTAGCGCCAATTGGACCTCGAACAACCAGGCCCAGAACCCCTAATTTGCATAATTCTGATTGATTTATTATTTTAAAGAAAGGCCTAAAACACAAATACATGAGTCTTAAACAGTTCACTTATAATAGAGTAGGTATTCACCGACCATCACACTGATTGACTCAATGACAGATGACTCACTGACATTGACGGATTGATTGACTGTCTCACTGACTGGTTTGCTGGTTGGCTGGCTGAGAGACAGACAACCGGATACAGTATGCTCAGACATATGTTAACTGCTCAGACGCATTTTATATGCTCAGACGCAAGGTAGTCAGACGCGCATATACGATTTTCTGCGCGAACGGACCCAAAAAATGCGCGAATCATGTGCCTTTGTTATTCAGAGCTGTAAGGTTTCCCTTCTGTAGGCAGACTGACTGAATGAGTTACTGATTTATAAGTGAGTGATTGATAAGCTTCTCAACTTAATTTTAGATGCAGAGAAGCTTGCTTACAGCTTCATGAGGATGCTAAAAACTTGCTGAGAGATCAGTTGAGCCAAGAATATGAACAAAAAATCCACGAGTTGAAGTATGTTTATTTGGTGGCCTACTATTGTATCTCTTTCACTTTAATTTACTAAATGTGCACGTGTTGCTGTCCCCTATGAGAATGTTTCTGCATTATTTATAACTGCACACTCTCCTAAACGTTGTTTAAAAGGTCAATTTTACATTTGAGGTATATAAATCATCGCTCAAAAGTAAGTTGATAGTCCCTCAATCCTTCATCCTCAATCCTCGAAAACTTCGAGGATCGAGGCTCTAGTCGAGTCTCGTTTTGAGACTTTCGAGGCGGGAAAACTAAGGAATTTTCGCGCTATTAATTTTTCACAGGACAAGGTTCTTACATGTATCTTTGGTACCAAAATCAAAACCTTACTACATGCACAAAATTCCTCTCCGTTCTTATCAGTCAAAGTCATTTTAATAATCTGGTGCTATTAAATAAACACTCAAAGGAATCTTTTTTTTAGGAAAGAGTTGGAAGAAAACAGTGAGGAGTTAATCAGGATTAAGGAATGCTATGTGCAGCTGGGCGAGGAAAGCCGCGAATTGGAACGGAAAATGAAGGATGAATTTGAGAAGGAGAAACAGTTGTTATTTTCCGAGGTGAGAGGGAAGTCACGTGTTGGGTTTTAATGCAATTCAAGATGAAATATCGTAGAGTTTTACAGGTAATAGGACTCAGTGGAGTCCAATTTGGTCTGAAATGAAGTGAGTGACTGACAATGGAAATTCGGAGGACTGCGTAGTGGGAGTCTGATTTGCTTAACCCGAGTATTATTGGAGACAGAATTGGACGAAACGAAACACTATTACCAATTTATCAAAACTATGACAGAATTTGAGAGAAAGAACATAGTTAACCCTTTAATCCCTGCAAGTGACCAGCATCTAATTTCTCTTTTCAGTATTAAGGTCATGAGAATAAAGGAAATGATAATCAACTGAAGAACCTCTTGATTGTTAAACAAATTCTCCTTGCCAGGACATTAGGAAATGTTTAGATAACAGTATGGAGAATTTGCATACTGATGTTAGGGTGTAAAGGATTAAGGAACATAAAAGTGAAAGTTTTCGGAACGAGAAATCGAACCCAATAGTGTATGTTACAGCGCGTGTACGTAACGCCTTATTTAATCTTCAAATTACTTGACTTGGAGGAACAACATAGCAATAAAATGTAGGAAAAGCAACTGCAAGAGTCTAGAATTCAAAATTTTATGGGAAGCCCGGAAATTCTCCGGGACGAAAGGCTTCCCCGGGCCTTTAGAACTACTTGCCTGCTATTCGTAATTGACTACCAATTTATGCTATATTTTAATTGAAAGCCCTGTCTTGTGACTCTTGCTTCAGAATGAAGCCAAGCTAGAGAATGAATTGCGAGCCTCTCTTGAAAAGCAGCACGTGGAGCATCTGGAAAAGGCCAAAGATCAGTGGAAGAGAGAAGAGATGAAGCGAATCAATGATGAAGTTATGAAACAGAAGGGACTGCTTCTAAAGGTTACCATTACTCTTCAGCTGTTTAAATAACACGTCCGAAATTGCATTACAAACAGAAATCGAACTCCTGTCATTCCTGATCTTGCGGTCGAATACTTCTTTAACTTAGTAGCTGAGAACTCTTCGGCGAGCTGCCGTAGGCTATTCTCATTATGGTACAACTTGGGTTCATTTGTGATAAATGTGGTGAGGTTGAGTGTTGTTAAAAGCAGTTTCTCCGAATTTAAAGTAATAATAATTTTGTTAGTTTGGACGCTTGGCGGTTCTAGTCGTGTATGAGCTCGAACTACCCGAGTAGATTTTTTCATGTGCTCGTTATTGTGAAGACGTTAGGACTTTAAATGAAAGGTTGAGTCGTGTTTCGATGTATTTATTAGAATAAATACAGATCGTTTTAACATCTACGTGCCAAGAAAGCGTATCTTGTTTTGCTGATTTTAATTTACCACTTGCAACTATAACAGTTGAGAGCTATGCGTAGTTTTGGTCATTTTCTTGGAATTTTTTCTGAGATGTTCAGTGTTTTACTCTCAATGTGCAGAACATGACGGAAGCACAGTCCAAAGCAGTTGAGGAAGCTCTGTCAAAAGCTCGTATGGAATGGAACAGTGAGCAATCTTCTATCATTGCTGATGAAATAGCTACGGCCAAGAGAGAATGGATGAAGGATCAGAACGATGAGTTAGAGAAACGTTTAGCTAATGCCATCGAAGAAGTGAGACGAATCTGGGACGAAGAACAAAAGCTGAAAACAAAGGAGGTATCAGTATCAATGGTGAATTATGTCACGATACAGAAACACCTCGGTAAACTCCAGGTGGCATTTGTATTTTCACGTTAGTAAAGTTCAATTTCGTACACCAGCCCAGTGGCCTACACCACCGGAACTTATTTCAGTCTTCATGGCGAGGGGATTTTGCTTCCCCTGAAGTGAATGCTAGTCGATCGAAGGCAACCAATCCCCCCTTTCGTTTCCGTGCTACGTCGGTTTCGCATATCAGTTTCGTGGGTACTGGAAACCCTTGAGCGCTTTAAGATTTAAGGCCTTACTCAACCTAACCAAAGGCCAGGCTGCTTAAACGAAGATTAGTGTAGGCCAGGTTTGAAATGAATTTTTGATGTGGTTTTGTAGCATTGCAGAGAGTGTTATTTCTTATGTTGTGTAGTTCGTTGGAAAAGAAACTTCACTGGACGTTTGCCTCAATATGCGATATTATGCATGAAATTTAAACCTAGTTACAACTTTTGTACTGGATTAACGATATACTTCTTTCGGAAATTTCTGTCAATTACTAATAAAGTTAAGTGAGAAGTTTACGTTTCCCGTAGATATCAGAAACTATCATGATTATTTCCTTCCTGCTGATCCAGTTTAGTTTTTTTCAGGAGATGGTCAAAGTACGTGCAGAATTGGAGAAAGCACACGGAGCATCATGTGACCAACAACTTAACCAGGCAGTTGAACTGGCTCTGTCCCAAGCCCACGCGGACTGGCTGAAGAACGAGGAAGAAATGAGGCAGCGAGAGATTGATCAAGCTGTTGAGGTGGCCATAACTAACGCAGTCGCCGAAGCTAAGAAGGAATGGCAGAAGGAGTTTGTAGCTCAAGTGAGTACTTTCAGAGTAACTGTCAACTGAATGTCGCTTTCTGTAGACTGAAAAAGGCATTAATGGTACGATTTCTCTCGAGCGCCTTCAATTGACCCCACAACTTTTCTCGAATATGCGTTTGCCGGCGAGCTTTCACAAATGTACACGATCGTTTTGCAGGACAGCTTATTACAAACCTCTCTCGCTCAAGAAAGGCACCGGTGGAAGAAGGAAGAGGAATCGGTGAGAGCTAAAGCGGTAGAAGCTGCTGTGGCTATTGCTGAAGTGAAGTGGTTAGAGGATGAACAGAAGAAAATCTCTGAAGCAGTGGAACAAGCCGTGAAGATGGCGAGGGAAACGTGGCAAGAGGAGAAGAAACGGGATATAGGTATAAATATGTATGGAAAAATGATAGTACATACACAAGGGGAAAAAATTGACAGGATGACAACGATACGTTGATTATATTTGCTACTACGCGTGTCACACACGACATAGTCATGGCCCACTCATCATGGAGTTCTCCGTAGCTCAGGGATGGTGCATTAGAGCGCAGAATCCGAAAGTTATTTCCAGATCAAAATATTTTGCGCAGCGATCATAAGTTCCCTTAGATTTGCCTCACTTTGCAAACAGAACGTAGCAGGTATATCTGAGTGCTTGACTCATCTTTACTGTGTCCATCAAGTTTGTTGATCGTAGTATTGTTCACTGTATCTACAGCCATGGCAGTGGATTTGGCTAAACAAGAGTGGATGTCCAGGAAAGAAGATGAAGTGAACCTGGTCTTGGAGTCAGCCAGCTCTCAACTTGTCGAACAGTTTGAGCAGCAGAAGAAAGAGGCCGTGGAAAAAGCTGTTGGCGAGGCACGGGTAAAGACAGCAGTTGTAACGCTTCTAAAATCATTCCACTACTCACCTTATCCCACCTGTTGTCGTAAAGCTTTACACAGTTTTTTCATAGTATTATTCAATGGTTGTTTCCTGCCAAATTATATCGAATTCCTCAGGAAGTGTTCCCGCTGAACTTTTGGTTGTTTCCCGTGTAATTTCGCCGCGTGTGTTTGTTTGTTTTCAGTCGGGAAAGCTGCTTTGAAATTGAAAAAAAAGAAAGAAAAAACCATCATCATTTTTATTTTGCTTTCCTTGCTTTTGCTTGCCCTCATATACAGTTTTCACACACGGTTGCTTGATCCAGTCTCTTCGCACTCGGTTTGTCAAAAGCTTTTATACTACATTATGGTAATGTTTCGTTTTTATTTCTATATTTACAGTTGTTATGGGAGAGGCGATTGTCCGAGGAGAGAGCCTCAGAAATTGCTTCCATTAGGGAAGAAATCTTCAGAGAATTTGAAGAACAAAAGAAAGCGGAAATTATGGAAACCTTGGAAGAAGCAAAGGAAGCATGGATGGAGGAATCTGAGGAACAGAAGCGTGAGGAAGTAAACGAAGCTATGGCTTACCTAGAGTCCGAATACAATAAGAATTTAGAAGAGTTCAAACATAAGACATTGAGAGATGCTCTCGAGCAAGCCAGGAAGCAGTGGACTACTGAAGAACTTTCACATCGAGAGGAGATTCTCAAGGTGAATGTCGTAAGTTGTGTAAACCACATCAAGGGGGAAAAATTACGAGCTCGTGCTCTGAGGTTTTTAGATTATGGAGAAAACAAGATTGTTTTGATGAAGAGGGAGGTCCTTTTCTTGTCGAAGTATTTATTCTCCTCTCCGAACTGCTCCAAGCTCTCTGAGCATGCCCTTTAGCATGAGCCTTGTGGAACGCGAGCCGGAGAGAGGCCTGCTAGGGGTCTGGCATGGAAATTTACGCTTCGTTTTTAATGCCAGACCCCACCTAAACTGCCCCGCTCTTATCTCAAATCTTCCCGCGGGTGGAGAAACGCGCGACCTGCAGCACCTACTTGCCCGTGGGCTATATCCGAAAACGAATAGTTTATGCACGTAACAAATTTAGCCTAAATTCTTCATTTACAATTCATTTTAACTCTTTTATATCCTCAGCCATCTATGTTCCTTCTTTTACTTTTATTCTCTTTTTTTTTTTATATTTCTTTCATTTTTTGTTCTCTTCTAAGTTTAAAGTAGATCTTATTTTCTCACAACGTAAAAAAATACTTAGAAAAGAACTAATTGGTGAAGCTAAGAGGACGACATAAAATTTAGAGCGCTTTGAATCGGTTTAGAAGAGAGGAGTCTCGTTCATCTATGAAAAAGTCTAAGAGTTTGACCGGAAACTTTCCTTAGGCTCGTATATTAGCAGCTCAAGAAGACTGGCGCAAAGAAATTGCCAAGTCTACCCAGGAAGAGATTGACCGAGCCTTGTCCACTGCCAGGAAGGCCTGGGCCGTTAAAGCTGATGAAAAATTTGAGAATCGTGTCAGGGAAATAGAGGCAAATGTGCGACAACAGCTGGAGGCTAAAATCCAAGAAGAAAACAAAAAAAATATAAATGAAGCACTTCGGGAAGCAGAGGAAAGGTTTAGCTGCGAAAAAAGGAAATTAGAAGAAAACTTTAAGCAAAAGGTGAGCTTACTGTTGTGCGCAGACGCGCCGGTGTTAGTTTGCTTCTACTTTTGTCAAAATCAATATTTTTATGTATCTTGTGGTTAGACCTTTATCTTTCACGATTTTCTCCTGTCTAGAAATATTATTAGAGGCTCTCAAAAAGTTGTCAAATCCCTTGAATACAATTAGACGAACATAGCAGAGAAGACATCCTGCTCTTGTCCACAATTCACGTTGCTGCGCTAATTACTCTCGTTGCTTTTTAACTTTCCTTAGATCGATGACTCTTCACGCCGTCAATGGGAAGATGAGAAGGCTCGTTTGTCGAAAGAACAACAAAACCATCTTGAACGCATGCGCAGTGAGTACGAATCCAAGTTGGCTGATCAGCGTGCTAAGATTGAGAGGGATCTGGGCGTGAGAATGAGAGGCGAAGTAGAGAAGGCAAGAAGTGATTTGAATAAAGAACAACAGGATTTAAGGTTAGTTAAGTTAACAATGGACCAGTGTTGTCCATTATTAATTCATTATAATTTGACAATGGACCGGTGTTGTTTAATATTAAGTCATTGTAATTTAACAATGGACCAGTCTTGTTTAATATTAAATCATTGTAATTTAACAACGGATCAGTGTTGTTTATTATAAGTTTATTTAGCTTTGAGCTGCCTGTGATTTGTGGAAGATGCGATGGCCTTGTGCTCAGCTCTCCGTACTCTTCATTGAAAAGTTCGAGTTTGAAAGCTGACCATGTCATTGTGTTGAGTTTTCACGATGTCTCTCTCTACCCATGAGTACAAATGGTTACCAGAAAACTGTCAGGCTATCTGCCATTGTCCAGCTTCGTGTTTAGTTACTCTGTGTTTTGGAAACCGATAGAAGCTTTGGGAGAAATGGGCCAATCTTTATTAGTTACACCAATGCTTTCCAAATTCTTACCATAAATCCTTTTTAGGGCCCAACTGGATAAACAGTATGAACAGAAAGCGAGAAAAGCGTTAGAAAACGCAAGAATTCAGTGGGAAAAACAACAGCAACAAGAGATCACCAAAAGTAACGAGGACGCTGTGAAGCGACAGCAGGAGTTGTGGGCAAACGAGAGACGGGAAAACCTGTCTACCATGGAGAACATGAAACACGAGCTAGCCGCGGTCAAGAAGGAATACGCCATGGCAATAGAGAAACTAAAGAGGGAGATGGCAGAGGAGAAAAAGAAAACTCAGCACAGCATGAAACGGCGAGACTCAAGGGATATTGCTGCTCAGGTAAGCTGAATTATGTGTTGTGAAAAAAAAAAGTGAACAGATGAGTTTAAAGACATTTTTTATACGACTCTCTTGAGCTTTTACACCCTAACATCAGTGTCCATTTTCTTTATACTGTTCTCCTTACATTTCTTAAGGTGTTTGTAAGGAGAATTTGTTCAACAGTCAAAGTCTTCTAGAGTTGATTATCATTTCCTTTATTCTCGTAACCTTAATGTCTGAGTTAGGGTGTTATTGTTAGGAGAAATGAGGTGCCACTCATTCTTAGGGGTTAAGGGCTAAATAAAAGTAGGAGTGCTTCTTAATAATTATTTGACATCTCAGGCTTAATATATTTTTATAAAATTTATATGTGTTTATCTTGTTGTTGTTCTTTTGAGGTCTTTTCCTTTCTTAACTTTTCGTGCCTTAATGAAGTGCAATAAGTTTTGATATGATAAACTTTCTTTGCTCTTTGTAACTGACTTCCTGGTAGACTATCCAGCTGACTTACTGACTGAATGATTGACTGACTGATTGACTGACTGACTAAAGGACAGACAGACAAAGACAGAAAGAGTGATTGCTTGATCAATTGATTGATCCTCTCAGACCTTGCCACAAGCAGAAAGCGGTAGCGACACAAGTTTCAGCAGCGTGGATCATGAGTCAGCCACGCGTGGACTCCATGAACTACGTCAACACTACTTGGATACCATCGCTAAGATACGTGATGACGTGTTGGATCACGTGCACCAGACCAAGGCTAGCGCAGCCAAGAAGATCAGGTTAGCAAAAAGTAATTTTGCAAGTTGAATTCAAAAGCATGTAATGCATTCTTGAGGTGCAAATAAGCCTCCCCTCGCACCCCTCCCAGGGGGGGGGAAGGAAGCAAAAACGCTTTCAGATACAGACACGGGCTTGAATCCCGTCGAGAGCAGAACTTTTTCAAAGCTTGTTTTCTCTAATTGCTAAAAATTTCAGCTCAACTGTTAGGATCATAACTTTACTTAACATTATTATTCCTACAACTCCAGTAACTTAAAGTTCCTGAGAATAACCCACCCATCAAACGATGACCCTAAAGGTAACAGCGCTGCTGTTTTAAAGTCGCAATTTTCGCTTTTCAAATAGGGGCGAAGTTTTAAAAGAACGTCACTCCACGGCCAAAAAGCTTCGTAAGTACTACCTTCAATGTCTTAAGCAACTTCTTGAGGAAGATCGTGTGGCTCTGGAGGGTAACAGGTCCCCTATCAGTGCTGAGGATAAGTTGAACAGAATGGCTGAAGCTTTAAAAACGCTGAGTCCTGACAAGGAATCTACCGGTAAGCTTCCTTATTTAAAACGACGATCTTTGCAGGTTAAATTTGAACTCTTGACTGATCAGGCCTTAAATAAGGGTATGAACCTGTTTCCCCCGCAAAAACTTGGTGTCGCTCTGCCAGCTTTAGTCACAACTTTTTTGGGAAACCTCTGTTCAGCTGACGTCTTTATCCACAAATCACAAACGTTTGTCACGCCTGACAAAAATTTATGTTCTCATAACCTTTGTACCTGTTACCTTTATTGAAGGGAAGCTTTATTTTCTTCATATTCTTGACAAATTCAATGACAAATTGCTAAAAGAGTTCTTGTCTACTTTAGGACAGCATTTCCAACAACCTGAAGTGTATGAAAGCGCTCAAACGCCTCGTTCGGCATTATTCACTGTGTTACGAACTTCAAGTGAGCCTGACGTCCGGGACATGAAGTCACCACATACGCCGACTCCCGTTAGACCACGTGATGGCCTCCCTGATGGAGCAAGCGACACAGCTCAGCCAATCACAACAAAAGACAGAGCATTTACTCCCATATTAGGAAGGTTACCACCAATGGACGACTTGCTGAGAAAGAAACACTTGGCTCCGGAGAGGGAATATGAAAATTTTTCCTCTAACAAGACAGATATTCGAGCCATGAAGGCCGATAATGTGGCTATTCCAGCTCTTAAACGTGCTGCAGACATTAATTCAGAGGACGATGTTTCAGCACCTTCAGATGAGAAAGAAAGACAGATGGCAAATGCACTTCATGAGCGTGTACTCAAGCATAAACCCTCTCCAACGTACAGGAGAACTGCAGCTTCACCTGCGTTCTCTACCAAGTCTTACGAGTCAGATCAGTACAGTGAACTTCCTACAGTAATTCACATTTCAAGACGAGAATCCAGTGGCTCAAAAGACAGCAAAAGCAATCCAAGTCGTACCTCAGAGGCCAAGGATGACACAATCTCACCCATCAGGCCACCATCTGCGAAAAGTAGAATAACTCATGTTTTGCCTCGTGAAAAAAGGTTACAGGCCTCAGCAGGTTTACCTTCTAAGCCGCGGATTGATGTTCGAGCGAAACGTATGCAAAAATCTTAACATTAGAGTCTTTACTCAGGCGTGATCCACTTATGGAATGAAGCGTAGTCATTTCCGGATACAAATGTTGACAGAACCGGGCGTTTGCACTCAGCTCGTTAGTAGTAATGAGACTAATTAATCAAATACCTGTTAGTTGGCTAACAGCTTAAGTGACATTTCCTTCCTTCTTTGTACAAAGAAGTTTGCACTTCCACCCCGTGAGTGGAAATTAGGTGCCCACGCACGAGCGTGTACATGCCCAAAAATTGTGTGATTCGCTTTGATACAGACGGTAGGTTAGCTTTTGCAAAAAAATGGCGATGTACACTCAAAGAGAAGAGAAAAAAGTAGAAAAGATCAGTAGTTACATGTAGTCAAACATGTAATTGCTTATTTTTGTAAAACTAGTCAAAAGGTATCTTTTTGTACATAGGAATGTTTCTATTCCGGTTGTATATTAGTATTCTTTTCTCTGGGAGTCTCTAATTTATTGATCAAATGATTCCAAAAAAATTGGAATTTTCAATAAACGTAAATTCCAATCTCTTCCGGATGTTCTTGAAGCAACATTGTTTTATAGTTCTAACGGCCCCAACCAAAGTTTTAAGACTTTGAAAAGGTTTAAACAATGGACGCTGCCTTTGCATGTTTAGCTATGTATTAAACGTTCTGTGTTTATCAGGAAGAGAATACATCTGGCGAAAAATTCTGTTTCGCTTTTGTCGTTGTCGTCTTGTTACAGAGGGACTTTTTTTATAGTAAACAATGTGAAGGTATCGATGCACAACTACTCCGGTCGAAGTTCAACGCGATAACCTTCAAGTGATCTCGTAACTAATCAATAGTGTAATTTTTTACATTTCAAACTCTGGCAATTAATTTGGGGTGAACAGACCCTTAACGATAAATGTACAAGGTCTGATTATGTCAAGAATTCACGACAAAATTAACAATATAATTTAAATGGTTTAAAACTGAGCGGAATAGTCGATCGTGTATTGAAATCGTCCAGGTGAGGTTGTTTGAATAACTGTTGTTAGTAACAGTGACTTGAGTTTCGACAACCTTCAGCAATAATCCTGCGTCATCAAAGTAGACTCAACCCTTAAACTTGACTCTGATAATAATGGCTTCGAAACATCAATCAATGTCACCCACATGAGTTCTTTGCTGAACTGACATAGTGCTATCTGACACAGTGTATCGATCACACTGATCGAGCGTGAATGAACTGAAAGAAACGCTTGGGAACTAGCTGGGACTGTTGTATCATAGGTGGGTTCTGACCAATTTTGAATAGATGACGTCAATTTGGTGACAAATGGGTGAAACCTTAGTACAGCATATCACAACGCATAAGACGTCTTGCGCATCGACGAGGAGAAATTCAAAGGTTATACAGCATGGAATCTATACTTTTTGTGGCTGTTTTAGCAGTGCTGCAGATTTCTACCCAAGGTATTCATTATTTGATAGTTTACTTTCAATATCGAAGTAAAGTGGCACGGTAGATATTGCGTATCGAGTAAAGAATACCAGCTAAATCAGTTTTCGTCTCCTTTGATGGCGTAGCTCACTAATGAGATCCTTGCAGCTCAGTCAGTTGACATGGCATCCGCCTTCGAAATCTAAACTGGCTGAGGTTCAAAACGTCGCACGCTTGTAACGTGGTAAATTTCTTTCTTCGGTCGTAAACTGGATTTTAGGGCGCAATAATTGGCCACAAGTAGCCAAGAGGCTGTCGTTAGTTCATGATGAGGTATTACAGACTGGTCGTCGTTTTCGCTGGCCGGCCGGTTCTGAGTATCGATTACAAACCGTGCCGTCACAATTTATAATTGAGTTGCAAGAGACAAACGGTAACCACTAGGCTGAAACTAAACTTGTTATGTTCGATAAAAAATGAACCTGATTTGAGCTATTTTCCTATAATCCACACATTAATCTCGTAGAAATATAGCATTGAATTTCCAAGCACTTTAACGGCAAATTTTTTCGCTTCTGAGCAAGAAATAAACTCTTTTTTTTTCTCCCGTTTGTCGTAAGCGTCAATCTTGACCAATGTTTTTTTAAGTTAAATTCAGCACGGCACGCGTCAGCGATAATTCTGGATGTTTCTTTTTTTGATACATTTATGAAAACTCGCTAAAAGTTAAAGTAGTAGTTTTAGATAACTATTACGGTGATTTTGTCGTTATTTAGAAATAATGTGGATAACAAACAGATAAGTAGTAAGAGCCACTCGACTACGCGGTACAATTAAGATTGAACTAATTTGCATGTTAAGTCAGAATACTCGAAAACAGTGCACTAGGGTGGCATTCAGTGAGACAAAAGAACATAGAACTTGTCATTAATCTTAAAAACTAATTACAGATGCCAATAGTTGGGTAGCAAAACAAGTTCCAATTATTCCATTCGTGAAATAACAAACAATAATGATAACTTTTTTTCGCAATATTTCAAATAAGATTCTGATTTATTCGACAGAAAATTGATAAGAGAGTGTGAAAGACTGTGCGCTCTGACATTTGCTGATAATTGATTTGATAATGATGGCACCGAAAGTGAACCACCCCTAAGGCACTTGAGTTTATTTCCACTTGAAAAAATGGAAGATAAATTCTGTTTTCTCTCATTACCAAATCTCAGCTGTCATTTTGACACCTGAGATCATTTTAACACCTGAGATTTTCAACCTTTTGTTCCCAGTCATTTCAAGCCAGACAGCCCTATATTCCATAAAAAGGAAAGCTCTGCTTCCAAGCTTAGTTGATACGCCTTCCTAATGTTTTGTTTTTTCATAACAACGCCTGCAAGCTAGAAATCATCAAATTTTTTCTTAAAGAGTAAACCATTTTTTCTCAAAACCTTCTTCAGCCAAGTGTTAGAACGAATAAAACGATATCTATTTTGGTTTGTAAGCAAAAATTGAAAATAAACGATGATCGATATCGTTGGAATAAGAAACGGGAGAAGTAAATATTCAGTTCTCAACAAAAGCTTCCGTGACACTGTGCTAAAGTAATAATTGTACATACGATCCGAAAAATTCAGAGGGTTCGTTCTCACACATGTTTCAGAACGGACATGTGTCTTGAGGTTCAAGCAGTCTCACGGAAATCCTTGTTTCTTTCCCATGAACTACATGGCCGATGTTATCAGTTCCGTAGGAGCTCTATTTTGTGTTAACGATTATTGTGATGTTGAGGACCGAATATTTTCTGTATTTTTTTCCTGGGGTGTGTGAGCTGCATTTGCGCCTTTTGGACGATTCTAAAGCTTTTGAAAATCAGAGTTCGCCAACCTTTTATTTTTTCTTTAGCACCAACAACAAAAGCGTCGCGTTGGGAAAAATTTGGAAGTTTCGTAACATCGCTCATAATTGAATACACTACTTAGTAGCCTACAATCCAAACTTCTTGATAAGTTTAATCATGTGCTGCAGTTGCATGCGATATTAACTTACCCTGTGTGCCGTAACACAGGGTATTTCGCATAGAAAAAAGTGAAATTAAGGCAGACAAACCACTACATTCAAGCTAATCGAAGAGTCAACCATACTTTTTCAAGACCATCATCAATTAATGGCGACGAAAACCTAGACGAATTTTAAGATTTCGTAATACCACTTGAATCGTGCGGCTTACAGCCGCTTACAGTCTGCTGTGGCAAACGTTTTTATCAATTTAGCCCAGAGTCGCTGGTGCATATCTTAGATAGCTTAGACTGTACACTCAAACAAGCTGGATAGAACGTTCCGACTTTCCTGTTTATGTTGATGCTTTAATTCGTGCCAGCATCATCATCAACCCCTCTTCTTTATGCGGATCAAAGAGTTCGCCATCTTTTTTTTAACACCATCACCAATGGCGGTCGAACTTGGAAGAATTTGAACATTTTGCAAATCAAACAGTTTGCCAACCTCTTCTTAACACGAATGACAAAGGCGATGGTAGTTCGATGAATTTGGTCGAAGATTTCGTAACATCGCTGACATTACTGCAAAGGTATTACTTTTCGAGCACATAATGGAATCAACCTCAGCAGGACTTCAAAATTGATAGCTATCCATAACGTTCGAGAATCAATTTATATAAATAATGACTCGAACCTTCTTATTAACGACACAAGCTGATCGTGGGAAAGTTTATACGCTCCATTTCATTCAAGCTGAACCTTAACCCCAAACTAGCTAAAACTAAGAGGCAATTTTCAAAGCCTTAGATATTTTTCATTTTCTCAAGCTTAGTGTTTTGATATAGATCTCATAATAAACCTAAATGAATGTCCAGTATTGGCAAATGAAGCGTATTCATGAGACGTGTATTGTTGGCAGTTTCATCAGACTAAACTCATTACGATCCCGGGGGACGAATCGAGAACCTTTGGAAACAAAGAAGTGACGTCACATAGGTAATAAACAAATGCATTTGCAGGTTCAACGGATTTGACACCGAGCAACCGAACTTTTCATATACTGCTGAGATCGATAGAATTGAAATTGAACAGTACAAGATGGGATTATGCCCGGCAACTGTATCTTTTGCAACCGTTTTGGCAGTAGTTTGCATTTCTAGCGAAGGTAAGCGAACAAAGAATTGAATGTTTTGCATTTTGTAATCGAGACTGGAGTGGTTTACTCGTGATTAACTGAAAGATACGAAGGGCTGCGGTTGAAATTCCAGTAATGAAACAATCGAACCGGCTTCAAGCCGTTATTAAGACACAGGTTATAATTTTTTTGCTGTGAAATACAAACACAGATGGTAGATTGTAACATCAATAACTGTGATGCATTATTTAGGAACGTCTTGTTGTTAGAGCTTAAATAAAACTGCTTGGAACCTCGTGCGACGTGGAACCGAACTTTCTAGTACAGATCGAATTAATATGGAATTCTTACCAGGCTTGACTAAAGAGATCAACTTCTTGTTATATCAAGAACAGTGGCTTTTAAGTGACACATCTGTATTCCAGTTAGATGTTGTCATTCTGTCCGCTTGCAATGCCGTTAAACCTCATTCCGAAGTCAGCCATCGTTTTTCGAGTACGAATGAGGTGTTTAATGAATGAGTAGGTGACTTTCGAGAGTTGAGGAGACAAGTCGCAAATCGTTAGCAATGGCTTCGACCGGTAGCTTCTTCGACGTTCATTTATTCCGACACAATCACCAAAAAGCAAAAGAATGACAGTTATTGAAATTAGTCGGAGGGAATTATTTCTCTTGCTTTTAGTTCTCTACACTTTAATCATGTTTGAGAGCGCTATGCTTCAGACCTCACTTTAGCACTGAGTTCTGAGGCACTCAATTTATATTTCAGTGGGTTTGTCACGCTTAAATCGGGAAAGAAATCTTGAAGTCTGTGAGAGAACACGGCGGTTGAAAGCGAGCTGTTGTGAAAGCTCATTTGCATTTTCCGCAACTGTTCGCTGCGAGACTTCTTTTCGAATTAGTTCAAAACAAAATTCTAAACTGATAAACACGATAGTTGATCTATCAACACCGTTCAGCAAGGAGAGATAACAATTCGACCAACGTAACCTGTACAATTAATCAATTTGTGAACGAGAAAAAAAAAACGTTTTTAAAATTCCTCATCAAAATAAGAAAGGCGATCGCGTTGTCGAAAACATCACTTGATTCTATTAGATATCAACTTTCCACTAAGCCTATTACTGATAACGGTTTTAGCGTTGATCGATTTGGTCAGATAGATTCTGGATCAATCCGGATAACAACGATGTATTTTCAGAACAGGCAGGGTTTCTAACTATTCTTTCACATTTAAAACCAATATCAGACAGTTGGAACCCCAAGAGATCTCCTACATTGATGAAACGTATGGAAATTTCACTCACATTGAACAATTGCTTCTTTGTGTCCTCATCCGAAGGAAACAAAGCTGTTTTTCAGGGCATTACGCCTTTCAAGTGTATTTTGTCATAGAGATTGCGAAAAGCGATTTTCCGAAGAAATCAGCGAGGTAATATGTAGGAATGCAAATGATTTAAAATCAATGAAATTAAGCCTTATTGCGAGACGTCGTTCGATTCTCTTCTCATAAAGGAAAAATAAAAATTGATCAAAATTCAACTAAATTGTTTTGACTGGCTGACCACATTATCTGTTGTTCCAGAGAAATGAGGCGGTATTGTCTGAGTAGAGGCAAGTGAAATGTTACTTGAAAACTTCAACGACTGCCGTTCTTAGTATGCTTCTCTGGAAGGAACCTTTTTAACAACAGCATTTGCTAACCATTTGTAGTTTAAACGGGTTGAAAGGCCATTTTAAAACCAAGAAAATAAGAGTGTTTTTTGTAGATCGGAAATGGACTTTAATGACAATTCACCCGGAGGCGACAAAAGACGATTCATGTGTGATACATATGTCTTACTCTTAAGAAAACTAAATGATTTTCTGCATTCTTACATCTCACAACCTTAAGTTTCCGGGCTGTTTTAGCAGTAAGTATTATGAAATACAAGTGCGGAAAATGTCGGCTGAACTTCGTCATTGAAATTTATTAAAAGCACTCTTTTACTGGCTTGGTGTGGCTTAAACTCTACCAGAAAGTTTCACTAACGTGCTTTTTTTAAAAACCCTTCGTATTTTCAAAAGAAAGTTTCGCTGACATGCTTTTTTTAAAAACCCTTCGTATTTTCAAAAGACGAGGCTTTTTTTAAATTAATTTGATTAGCACTCATGAGCGTTAAACCAATCAGTCAGCTGCTGATCTCAGGAAGGTTCTCCGCACTTTGTGTTTTTCTCATACTGACTGCTTAGTAAGAGAAATTTGAAGAGATGTCTTTCGTTCAGAAAGGAAGATACTAAATTGATTTTATTTGTGACATTTTAGTGTTCGGTGCGGACCCTTTGTACTGCTTCAGTTGCCATGGATATGATAAAGATAGTCTCACCAAGTGTAAAGACAGAAAGGATAATGAATTGTTTGTTAGAAAGTGCACCACAAACTCGTCGCTTTTGCCGGCCTGTCTCAAGTACACTGCCTATTACAAGATTCCACAGATGATGGGTAAACAACTCAAAATGGTCGAGTCCGCCGTGCACGGTTTACACTGTGGAACACTGGCAATGTGTGCAAGGAGTGAATGCCCGAATTTCTGGCCAAAGGATCTCTCTGCTAAAAAATGTGAAGTAAGTTGCTGTACAAACAAACCCTGTTTATTCCCGATGCCGAATAAATCGGAAATTGATAGATATGAGCAGCGAGAGGCTGTGAAGGGTAACGCGGCAGCTCTTGGGGTCCAGAGTGGAAAGAGAAGTAGTGGTGTAACCAGAATCTCGGTGTCCTTGTGGATACAAGGCGTGGTTCTCGCTTTTGCTACGTGGCTTAAGGCTTAAAGTTTTTAACGCGAAGTAACTTGTATGCCAAGTGCAAGCAATTAAGAGGCCGTTCATATCATGTTTTCATCAGTGGTAGTTATATTTAAATACTAAAGCTGGCACTTACTCTGGAAGATCTAACTCTTTATTTCCCTCTTGAGAAAGAGGACATTATCATGAACACAAGTAATAATTATTGACGTATACTAAACGCTTGACTATCATGAGACACTCCACATCTGAAGTAATTCTGGCTTCACCACAAACAATCCAAACGAATGCTCGGGATGTGCTGCCCAAAGGAACTGGGTTTGATGCTTCAAACACGCTTCACAGATACGTTATCTGTTAATAATGTTCCTGACGTTATCGATGGCCCGACCACTGGATAAAAAAAGCAGTCATGTTTATGTATAGTTCGTCTCAGTTTGCGAAACTTTATACCGAATCATTACAATCTTAGTTTAGTCACACCTTCTGTAGCTATATACTATTTATATATATGAGGGTCAGGATTTGACTTGGCACATTCTTTTGTAACACGTCTGTAAAGTATCATTTTATACCCATCAACAAATCGTTTCCTGTTTTATAAATACTCGACGCAAATTGGAGTATCGCTGAACAATTCTCACCTCACTGACAGTCAAATTTTACCTCACTTTCTTATGTACAACAGAGACGTTTATTCAATTTTGTTTTAGGGTAAAGAGTAACTGTAGCATAAAGTGTCTCTAAACAAACACCTTTTTCGTGCAGATACAACATGTTCCCTTGGGAATACATGCCTGAGAATACTCGAACAGGAAATCATAATTTATTGGAATGTGTTACCAAACACAAAGTTATTTTCAACTCTTACATCAATTCCATTTCTTGTTGTTGATGAATGCAAACATGCCTACAATAATGTGTACTTTGACTTGGTAAGATGTCTTTTATTTGCATCAGGTCGGGAAGTGACCTATATATGTGTTTTCGTCAATTTCAAAATACTTGTTTATTGACCTAAACTTGTAAGTGAGTAGAATAAAACAGATGTTATTGCTTTTTTCGGAAAAGAAAACTCGAAAAACATCCGCTCAACGAAGGAAGAGAATTTTAAGAATTCTTCAATAGCCGACCGGTTAATGCAAATCTAAGTAACAAACATTCGCTTTGAGGAAGGGCAAACGCCCGAAATATCAGCTTTGAAACTCTTTACAGTGGCCAATTTAAGTTATCAATTCATTTGATAATACTAAATTACCCTGTTATACTCTCCTACCGACTACGCAGCTCCACAGTTTCCTTAGAATCTTACCCCCTTTAGATAAGATTATTTTCACTTCGTATAGCATCTGCTGGTTCTGCCGCTGTAAAGACTTGTGTTGTAATGGAAACGGAGTTTTTTAATATTGATTTATCTAAGAAACATTTCCTTTTAGTTGTATGAATGAGTATTAGCTATAGTGCCTCTCTGATATGGCTTGCAAATGTTTTGATCAGAATGTATCTTGTTTTGTAGAAAAACGTTCATCATGTTAATCATTTCACATATGTGTATATGTAGATATTTTTTTTTAAAGACTTTGGCCGAGCATCGCCGTGAAGTAGAATAAAAAGAATCATTTTTTGTCTCAGTATCTGGTCGTTTCTGATGTAGATTGTGGTGTTTCGACTGCGTATCGATCTACATCACAGGTGTTCAAGAGTGGGACGATCATTCACTACGTAGCCGATAAATTTCACAAGTATGATGTATTTTGACATCTAAGCTAGATTTGTGCAACACAAGCTGCAACTTGATTCTTTATTAAAATAAAATGTTTTTAGGAGAACTGTTGTAGCCGCTTGATATTAAAAGAAAAATTAAAGCCATTGTTCTTGGTTCCAGTTATTTTCTATTCAACAGCGGAATAAATACCGCTCAAGGGTTAGAGAGACCGTGAACATTCACCCTTAGGCCAAACACGTGACCTTGAAGTAACAGGATCATTTTGTGTCCTCTCTCCTTCCTTTTTCTTCACGAATATCTCCCCTTCCCCTCTCCTCCCTGGGAATGCCAGAAGAACTCCGCACAATCTGATAACTTTACTGCATATCTTTTTATTGTATACTTTATTATGTAAAAAACGTAAAAAAAAAAAGAAGATACATTGGTCAACTATTGGGTCAGCTATATGGTAAGTTTATCATCGCAGTTTAAGTGAAAAAGTACAAACATCTTATATTTATCAAAATGTTCAAATGCTAGTATATAAGTAGTCCCCAATGGTCTCAAAACCAAAGCACTGGCTGATGGGAGAAGTAGCTAACGAAAAAAATTAATATCACGTCAAAGATTACCGGCTGCTTTGGAGAGCAAAACCACAATTACCTTAACTGAGGATGAGACGTTTCTGCATTTTTCTCTATTTCATTTTACCACTGTGGAAAAAAACCGCCTCTTTTTCGAATGCAATCAGCAGATTTATTTTCCTTTTTCGCGCAGAAAAATTCGCCAGGTTAAAAAATTCCTGCGCTTTCGCCACGTTCCTTAGAAAGGGTGTGGTGTGGAAAAATTCGTTAAGAGGCGTAGTTTTGTTCGTCGTGTTAATTAACTATGATTAAAGGCCGCTGAACTCAGGTTAACGAATGGAAAAATAGATCCCATCTTTAAAAATGCTTGACAAAATAGTCTCAGTGAGACACAAACATTTAACTGATAACATGAAGTATTTACTAATTCCAATTCTTATATCAAATTCTACCCATGCAGATAAAAAGTAAAGGGAACTTGCTAAGTCTTTTTCAATTCTAAGAAACTTTTAATAGGTTTGTAATTTTCCAGCAGTAGAAATCTTTTTCTTTCTTAATTACTAGTCGATTTATTGAAAAAGTAATCGAACATGAATTTAAAAACTGAAAATGTTGCTGCGTTAATTACATCAAAGCAGATTTGTGATTTTTGATGTGGCGCTGATTCAGAGGTAAAACTTTGCCTTATCATCTACTTTACGCTGAAAACTTAATCTTTACAACAAACGGGCCCTGACAAGGCTCAGTAGAGTACTTGTTACCGTGACAGGAACACTCGCAAGTATTTCAAAACCTTTCCCGCCTCGCGCTCCTTTCACCGGACCTTCATTTCCCTCAGTGATGGTAATGTTTCCCTCGGGGCAGAAATCCCCCTCACAACAACTCATCTGACAAACGTTGTAAGCGAGTGATTTCTCGCCGTAGTGTTCCGCAAAATGGCCCGAACATAGCTCGAACACACACTCATCTTGAGATGCGCAGCCCCTCTGAAAACCTGTCTGATTTTCTCCGAGCAATGTGACGAAAACTTGAACAGTCATGTTACGGCAGCGATCTGTTGGCTTTGGACATTCGGTCTTCTTCATGAATTGAACACAATCCTCCATGGATACAAGAGAAGTACATTCATAGCACTCGGTGGACATGGCTGATGGAAAGAAAGACAATTTGATTGGTTATATCAACTGAGTGGCCACCGCTCTGACGAAGAAGAAGTGACTTTTAAAGGTGGCCAATTTACTTTATCAACTCAGTTGATAAGACAAAATTTCTTCTAATACCCTCTAACGACTGAAACTTTTTAGGAAACTTACCCTTCATTCATTTGATGGAAAAAGTCCGAAAATACTGAAAGAGCCAGAACTGATACAGTTTCAATTTATGTATTTAATATCGTCAAGTGAATTACGAGACAAAACAGGCCGGTCACTTTATGATTTCTCTTTTAAATATTTATAGCCTTGTCATAAGGACGTGTCAAACGATAGTGACAAAATCATATTCAGGGCGGAGTGTTGGCTTCCTTCCTATAAGAAACTATAAGTGGTTAACCGCGTGTGAGGGTTTCAAACTGCAAATTTTCGGGATTTCAATGAAATATAACGGAAAGTTCCTTGCTTTCAACACCACTAAACAGGGGTAGCATTAGCTTTTTCTGTGTAACTTTCTCATTGTGTGTTCAACGAAACGCAAAATCTTCAATTTCTTTATTTGTTTGGACGACTTTCGGTTTCTGCTTTGTTTTTCTGGGTCACATCAACTGTCTGACTTGTCTCTAGGGCTCAAAACCGCCATGAACGTGACAAAATATGCCTTAAGCAAACACGGTCGAACACAAGGTTTGACAAATTTTATAGTAGATTGGTTATCTTACAGAAAAAGTTAATCACATCACCGAGTATCGAAGTATTCAAGAAATTTTCTCTCGATTCCTAGGCCTATTCAGAAAAATTATTGTCTTTAGTGACCCAACACTTTAAAAACATTGCTAATTAATGCACTGTTTGCATGTGGATTTGAACCAAACGAATAGAAATGTAAATTGTCGTAAACTTCTTGTGTACGAAGAGATTTTTTTGCCAACTGATGTTTTAATCTCTTCTCAGCGAAAAAGAGTCAAAATCTTGATAAAGATTCCAAGAAAAAACGTAAGTACTTCTAGGTATACCATTTTCCTTTCAGGAAATTTTTCAAAGTGGTAAAATATCACACAACCTATATAGCGCTGCAATACTAGTTAATATTTCTTTTATTAAAATTCATGGTGACGAAGGCGCAACAATATCTCATTGCGGATAGAATTTTACACCAATTTTTTGTCAGAAATAGCGAAAATCAACCGCAGTATGATGCCGAAAGATCCATCGTTTTACGGTCATGTTGTTTTAACTCAAAGATGTTTTTAATTTCGAACAGTTGAAAAATAGGTTGTGACAAAGAGTTTCAACATTCAACGTAAACATCATCACCCGCAATACCAAATCATAATTCAAACTGGGCACTAAGTCACTTCGATTAAAACTTGTCATCGATCGAAATTTCGACAAGCGTTGTGAAATTTATCAACCAGGCTTAAAATCACCGAAGTTTGCTCGGGAAATCGGACTAAATTTGAATGTCAAACGATTCACTCCTCAGTCATTGTTATAAATCATAACATCGCACTGTACAATTTATATTTCGCAACAATTTAGGACACAAAAACATTCAACCAGAAGAGAACACTCACCAAATGGAGTTGAATATAAAACAAAGAGTGCTCCCAAGGCTATCCTCAGCATTTTCGGCCAGACTCCACGACAAAGACTACGAAATAGTGACATCATTCGACCGGAGAAGCAAGAGAACAATAAGTGAGCCTGTCGACTATCTGCATTGCGGTATGCCATCAAGTCTGAAGTGCTTCATGCAAATGATACACTGATAAGGAGTTTTAATATTTTTAAAAGGGACAGAAGTGAGCTTTTATTTCGACGACAAGAAGGAATAACAAAGGAAAACTAACGGCTCTCGTCCAGCTGGTCAGTTTGAAGACAAGCTGGTTGATTGTTTGATTGATGATACAGTGAAAGCTCGGACGGAGTCAAGAATGAAGTAGCCGGTCTCGACGAGGTGATGGCTTTTACGGCTAACGGTTAAAATTTTGGCCATTTTACGGCTCACAGTTAACTTGTTTCGTTTTTGATTAAAAGAAATACGCTTGACAGTTAATTTTCTTTTTACGACTTACCGTCAAAATTTGTCAATTTTTACGCCTAACGGCTAAATCTTTTGGCCTTTTTACGGCTAGCGGTTAACTCTATATGCATTGAGCTTCTCGGAGTATGGTATCTTCGAATTTCCTCGGGTGAATGATATATGTTTCGCAGTCTGAGTTTGATGTTATCATTTATGAAATTTGTTCTCAACTGCAATTTGTAGAGTTTTAATCTAACAGCGATTGTTTCGAGATACCTTCATCAGTACCAGGGGCTCCTTTACTAAAAGCTAACTTAGTTGGTTGTCCATGCACTAGCTCGTGATGCAGTTGAAAAAATGAGCGAGTGAACTAAAATTTGTAGGGATCTTCGATGCAGTAACTGAGGCGTACAAAGACAACTCTAACCTTCGCTAACATTAAGCTCTCACTAAGAGAAGAAGTCGATATTCTCCCACTTTCCAATCATTTGTATTACCGGTAGATTTAACCGTTCCCGCAGACATCGCAAAATACACACTACAGTAAACTTCCTCGCACCCTGAATACCTGGCGAGGGTATAAAAGCTACAGCTATAAAAATCATCCTCACAATTTTTGTGGAAAGGAAGACGCTGATGCTTGATCAAGTCACTCTGAACTCGTAGTTTTGCGATTCACTCAGTTTAAACTTATAAAACGAAAGAGGTCCATCCACAGCGAGTTGTTAGCCGTAACAAACACAATTTCTAAGAAATGTGCGTGATTTTTGTAATTGCTGCGTGATGCTTTTTTCCTTAATGAAATAGAAACGTGTTCTATTAAGAGGTTTTTTTTTCTTGTTCTTGTTTGAAAAGTGTTTGAAATTAAAAGTCGGGATGAAAAGCGAAAAATACAACGAATAAAGAAATAACATAAAATAATGGTAATGAAAACTGAAAGCTGAAGACAAGATACTTTATTGCTACATCATTAAATACAAGTTTCCTGAAGCCAAATGAAAACAATTAGCGAGCTGATTTACTTAAAGTTACTCAATAACTTGGTAGAAATGTTACCAGAAATTTTCGATGAAATTGTTTCGTTTTCGTCAATCTGTTCCCTTACAACCTACGTGAGAACAAGCCGAACAACCTGTGTTTTTTGACTGTTAATAATCAATGGCTGGCTGACTTT